AAGCCCCTGGTTATTATTATAGCTCCAGAACTGAGAACCTCTAGCTCGAGCTTTTCGCCGGGACTCAAGCAATGCAAATCAAATTTCATTTGAGAAATGAAATGGGGAGAGAGCTTATAAGAAGATGACACAATTTAAAAGGAGATATGGGGGCGGTCAGTCCTCTCAATGAATGTCCTTCCCTTCTGGGGACATGTGCAACAAATATTCACAACTGCAGGCTCACTCGCAGTCCTGTGGGAAGGGAGGCTTGGGGATGGGGAGGCATGGGACAGAGTGCCTGAGGGTGACTCCCTCTTAAGAAATGGATTCCCCTTTCTGTTGTCCCAAAGCTGCTGGGACACAATCCTGAGAGACCACAATTAGAATTTGGTTAGCACTTCTCAATTTCACATGCATTACTCTTTGATTCAAACAACAAACCTATATAAAAGGAAGTACTATCACTCCCATTTTGCAAATCAGAAGACTAATGCCCAGACAAATTAACTGACTTGCCCAAAATATTATGGCCAATGAATGGCAGAGCTGAGATGTCGACCCTAACATTTTTGAAGCATCTATCATATTCTAGGATTTAGGCAAGTATAAATTATATAATTATGAAATTATAAATTCTCTAATTACTTCTCACTACTTTGATATAATCTTCTATTTGTTTCTGGCACTTATGAGGCAGAATCTTATTTATCCACAAACACCATTCTTCCTGCATATTTTGCACAGAGCTGCTGTGTGACAGGTACCAGGTTCTCTTTCCCAGCTTCCCTTGCTGCTAAGAATTATCATGTGCCACCATTCTGGCCAATGAGATGTAAGAGGAAGCCTACAGTGTTCTCTAATCCATTTTCTCTTCTCCATGCCTGTCCAAGCCACTGTGGGATCTTGACACGACAAGCTTAAGAATAAAAATGAAAATGGCAGAACAAAACGTCCCAGCTTCATCCCTGTACTGCTGGCTGCCTACCTGTAGGCTTCTGGCTGATGAGAAAATATAAGCCTCTATTTGTTTATCACTGTAGGTTGGGTTTTTATAAATTGTGGCCAAATGTATTCCTAAATGACCTTGTTTCCTAAATGCCCTTCACCACTGCTATTTCAGTCCTTTACAATTGAACGCGATGCCCACCAGCTTACCACCAGCCAGCATCTGACGGAAGCCAAAGCTGAGCCATGTTGGGGATACTAAATCAGTGTCATAACTGCATTACCTTTGAGACCTGTGGCATTTTGTCACCTGAGTCAGCGCGTAGTTTTCCCGGCGTCAGTTTGTTTTTACAAGATAAGGGCAAATACAGGAACGTAGTGCGACAGCTGTGTAAACACACTGCTCAGAGGTGGCAGCGCCGCCATCCCTGACCACTGGATGGGAGGCCAGCCGCCCTCTGGGCTTCAGCTGATGAGGGAGCCTGGGTTCGCTGTGGGGAAGGTGGTTCACTGTCATTTCAGTGCTGATATCGAAGTCTGGCTGTTTGAAAGTCAGAAGCACAGAAGTCAAGGACAGCCTGTATTTACTCCAGTGCAGCCTTAGCTAGCATCTATATCAGTTAGCGTCCATATCAGTTGGCTGCTGCAGAGCAAGAAACGACCACTAACCCAGTGGCTTAAAACAATGCCTATTACTGCTATGGGCCAGCTGAGTGGTTCTGCTGACCTGGGCAAGGTTTAGCTGGTCTTCAATGGGCTCCCGCATGTGTTTCAATCAGTCTGTGGTCATGTCAGCTGGGGAAAAGGGGGCTGCAGGGCTGGTCTGGGATGGCCTCACCACCTGTCTCACAGGTGCTGGCTATCAGCTCTGATGAGAGGGCTGGCTGGGTCACAGGGTCTCTTATCCTCATGTGGTGGCGGCAGCAGGCTTCCAAGAAAACTATGAGAAGCAGGCAAGGTATCTTGAGGCCTAGGCCCGGAACTAGCACAATGCCTATTGTGATACCATATTAAATCATGCTCTAAAGGAATGTGCAGCACCACATTCTATTGACTAAGGATAAGTCACAAAGCCATTCTAGTTTCAAGTGGTAGGCAGAAGGCCCCTCCCCTTTTTGATGGGAGAGACTGCAAAGTCACTTGCAAAGGGCATGGGTAAGGGAAGGGTTGGAGAACAGGGACTGTTTTTATAATCAGCCCACGACAGTACCCCGAGTGAGAGCTTCTCATAGAGCTTCTCATCATGGGCATAGAGGAAAGAGATAAACAAAATCTGGGTAGCAGAGAGATGGCTGGATGGACAAAATGGAAACAATTCTGCAGTGGAGAAAGAATGAGTTGGAAAGGGAGCAGAGGAAGAGGCCGGAGACACAGACTAAAGGACAAATCCTTTCTGATCATTATTTCTACACTGATTTGCACTGGGTGCTTAATATATAGCAGGCACGAGCTCACCTAATCCCCAACTATTCCTACGAAGGAGGTTCTATTATGAATCCCATTTACAGAGGAGGGACTTGAAGTTCAGAGAGGATTTGGTAATTTGCAGAGAGAGACACACATAAGTGCAGGAAGCAAGACTTGATGACTGGTCTCTTTGAATTAAAGCTCTGGCCCTCCTTCTGACACTTCGGTAACTGGTCTCCCTGTTCCTATTTCAATCCCACTCAACCCGCCCCATCCAGGCCCCGCCCACTGCAGCCTCTGACGACTTCCAGTTTGATTACTCCTAGCAATCTTTTTCTGTAGGGAGCCAGAGAGTTGTTGTGTCCTAATTACTCAACTCTACCCACAGGGTGAGAGCAACCAGAGACAGTATGTAACTGAATGGGTGTGGCTGTGTTCCCATAAAACTTTTACTTACACACACAAAAATAAATAAAATAAATAAGTCATTTGCTAACCCCTGCTTAATCCGGTCTCCTCCTTGCAGCCAGAGTGAGCCAACCTCAAATGCTGACCCTGCCATTTCTTGCCTATCCAGTACCTTCTGGATTAGTCCTAACTTGCAGTGTGGTTTACAGCTTTGCCATCAAAGCACGGCTCCTGAACCAGCAGTAGCACTCTCAGCCGGAAGTTGGTTAGAAAAGCAATCTCGCCCGGCCAGTGTGTCTGTGGTTGAAGGCTGACCCATGACTCAGGAGGTCACAGTTCAATTCCTGGTCAGGGCACCTACTTGTGTTTCAGGTTCAATCCCCAGTAAGGGGTGTGCAGGAGGCAGCTGATCAATGATTCTCTCTCACCATGGATAAATCAGAACTTGCATCCTAACAGACTCCCGGGTGATTTGCACACTCCAGTTTGAACAGCTCTGGCCTCGTTACCCCTGGTGTCCTGATGCCTCACTAACTCTCCCATCTCATCCTTGGTCTCTGAAGCATGCTCACACCCCAGCCCCACTTTCCAGCCAAATGCTCCTTTCACCTCTGTGCTAGGCGCATTCTTCTCCAGTTGAGCTCCTAACCTTTGGATCTAGACAAGAAGCCCTCCCTGAACCGGAACTGCACGAGGTGCCCTCTTCCGTGCTTCCATAAACCTCCCAACATCCACCACTGTGTGCGGACATCTTACCTGCCCGCCTCTCATAACTGCCTGTGTGCTCCTGAGAAAGAGACCTCGTCTGTCCTGGTCATCACTGTGTGTGTCCTCCATGCCCGGGCCAATAGCTACTAAATAACCACGTGTTAAAAAACTAAAGGCAACACACACTCCACCTCCTTTTCCCCTGGGCGAGTGTCCTACACAACTACTGTTTAGTCAGCCTGTGGGTACAAGTTTCCCTGAACTTCCACTGGCTCCAAGGCTTTGAAGAGTCCAACCTGGCCTCCCAGCTGCCATCTCTCACTAAACCAGTGGTTTTTCCTATTAGTAAATGTTTACCATTTGCAGAGAGCCTGAGGGCCTGAAAGATTTCTGGGTAAAATTCTTGAGCTGTGAATTCGCCACAGGCCAAGACTTGAACTGCATTTAGGAGTGTTTGTGGAAGTGGGGGAGAGGAGGGTAGGAGAAGGGCATGGGCAGAGGGTACTAGGCAAGGAAAACGAAGCCTGGAAGGCAGGACTCCGGCCTGTAAGCCTGCAGAGCTATGAACTGGCCTTTCCCGCCTGTGGCGGAGCCCGTTCTGTACAAATGACAATCCCAGCTTTGCTGCGTGGGAGAGCCTCCCGTACGCCCAGACGCTGAGGCAGGTAAGGCTTCAGGAAGGAGTCATAGGCCAGGGCAGCCGCAGGGAACAGGAGACCCCTCCCCAAATCCGACGTCCAGGCCAGAGGTTTCTACAAGTTCCTTTATTAACAAAGCAAAGTATAAAAGGACAAGGCCCCCAAACGATCCATGTGGTTAAAAGTGCAAATTTACTCCAGCACGAAATAGAAAACAAATGGCAGGTCTCAGCTATTGGGGCCATAGAAACTTGGTGAGATTAAAATGCCTTTTAATCACACAAGTGTAGCAGCTGAACCATATTTATTAACTCTTTAGTCTCTGTTATTGGAACAAAACATATGTTCTGACTGCAGCTGACATGCTGCATCATAATACACAGTTTGGGGTCAGAACACACATTAAAAATCACAATAAAATAAAAGGAATGTTTAAAGTCAAGTGACTAAATCAAGGCACTTTTTTTTTTAAGGCAAAAGATGCTCAAAATATTCCTGAATATCTGATACTTCAAAACCCAGATTACATATAATTTAGCTGGTTTTTTAGTCAATTCTCTCTGTACATATGATCACATGTATCTTCACCTGCTCCCAATTTATACTTGCTTTATCCCCACCAAATCATGTGCTGTATAGGCATAGAAAAATAAACAGTAGTGTCTTAGTAACAGACATGAGATTTTTAAGAAATTAACAAATGCCACATGATAACACTGAACTTCTTTCCCTCTCAAGGGACTCTGGAAACGTTCATGAGATTCATTTTTTCCACCACTGGGACACAATTTTTTCCTCTTCATGGGTGGGTGGGGAAAATTAAACCTTCAGCCTCAAGGTCAAAAGCCACATTTTAGAGAAAAGGTGACTTATTCCATGAGGATAAAAGAAATGCTCTGGAAGCCGTTAGGTTCATTCCTTCGGGAGGTTAATTTTGGTGGGAGCCACTGAGTCAGAAAGGGATGGACACATCTGATCAGGACAGTGTTCTTGGCAATGGGAATAGTAACAAGCTTGGCCCAAAGAGCCAGCACTGTTTTTCTGGTGTTCAAGGCCACCAGCTATCCTTGCTAAGGCACAGGCAAGGATGCTACTAAAAATAAAAAAATAAAAAATAACAACAATAATAATAATAATAATAAATTTTAAAATAAGAATAAAATGCAAATAAAAAAGAAACAAGTTATTCTGCAATCCTTCCTGATGACTCATCTTCAAACTCCAACTCAGCCTAGGCGTTTAGCCTGGACTTACCAGGAAGGAAATGCCAAAAACGGCCCCGTGGTTTGCTGGAGAATCTGGCTACAAAGAACAGCTTTAGGAGAGAGGGTCCTTCTGGGAATTGTAAGTTAAGTGTCATCTGTGGCCATGTTAATATTTTTGGTTTGTTTCTACAATAAAGCTTAGCTCTGAGAGATAAAGAATACTGAACTATCACTCCCCCAACTAAGTATAACAACATCATATCCATAACAATAAATATAACCTTATACATACTTGGGGGGTGGTTAACTGTGTAAGTCAGGGGTCGCAAACTGGTGGCCTGCAGACTTAACCAAGTTTTGTTTGGCCCACACGGTGCTTTGGAAATTTTAAAATGACTTAGTTTAAAAATCCGAAAATTTCACTTTTAAAAAAAAATCCTGATTTCCAGCCCCTCTCTACCCCGTTCCCCTGCATGGGGCAGAGTAATGGCTGTTTCCCCTTAAGACAGGGGGTCCCCACTGCCCACCCACCCCTTCTCTACCTTGCTTCTGCAGGCTGCTGAGTTTGTGACCCTTGATTTTGATATAGCACATACCTAAAATTACGTTACCTAACCCAAATCTCTCTCCCATGCTCACGATTTCCACCCCAGCTCTCCTTCCTTTCACTTCCATCTTAGATCCTACTTCCCGAGTCCTTCAGATTTCTCTTGGTTCATTCACATTCTCCCTTCTTTCACTTGTTTCATTTTGCCAACCCCTCCTCCTACTCTCAGCCCTGGCGTGTTCCAGGATGGCTCCCAGACCGCTCAGCGGAGTTACTGAAGGGTGTCTCGTGGCAAAATGGCTGAGTCATTTTCTCCAGACTCCATTTGCTTTGGGCACTGGCTGGACAATTAAATTTTTTTTTAACATGAGCAACTCTGAGCCTTCCTGTATAAGAATGTTTGCAAATATGAGTCTTCAGTACCAGGTGTACACCAAAAATGTGTACTTTTCTGATCAAGATCATGACGGAGCCCTAATTTAAGGCTCAGAACTGAGCTTAATTTAAGTGCCTCGGGCAGCCATCACGCCTGGCTAATATGCCATATTATTTCATTTGTACATAGTACATGTTTGGGATTACTAAACATTGATCAAAATCGATCGAAAATTCTCAAGTTTTGGTTACCATGTCCAGAGAACAATTGCTCAGCATGGCATTTAAATAAAACATTAATATTAAAAAAAATTAACAAACACAATGCCCATTAATTTAAAAAAAAATAATAAAAATTTAAAATCTTGAGGATGGATGAGGCTTTGGGTAATTAACCTGAAAAAAAAATTACAACTCTAAGAACAGTATATTACCAGACTTAAACTTCAAAACACTACTAAGATTTAAAAAAAAGAACCTATCAACTTAGCTAGAAATATTTGGAAAATTCAGCTTTTAAAGCTTTATAAATCCCTCCAGAGCCAATGTCCCCCACTCCAGTAGACTTCAATGACTACAGGGGACACTGCACCCTGGACAGTTTACATCTTTGCAGAAAGTCGATAGACTGATCCCTTTGCTAAATGCAGTACCTTATAACCTAACACTGACCTCAAAAGCTAGGAATGGCTTTTGTGGTTTCGAGGGGAACTCTCCCCAAAACAACCTCAAAAGAAAGCAGAGCATCCGCAACTGTTTCTCTTGCAGTTCTGATGAGGATTTCCTATAAATAATTTATTCACAATGATTTCCTGCAGTGGCCAGCTAGGTCCCTTAAAGAAAGTTTAGAGTTCCCTCGAAATAACTCAGGAATTAAACAATGGCCCTATTCAGGTGGCTATGTCTGTCTTCCAAGTTTCACCCTTTAAGAGCCTAAGAGAGTACATGTCTTTGTTTAAAAAAAAAAAAAAAAAAAAAAAAAAAAAAAATCCCAAAGTATAACACTGGGACTGGCTGCAGCTTCTAGTAGGAGAGCATAGGCTGGACCATTTTAAACTTGGAATTGTGGGCTGCTAGAAAATTTGGGAGGACAAAGAGGGATTTCAGGAGCAAGACACACCCAACCTGGTGATATTTCTGTCCAAAGATAGGGGGCTGGGGGGAATAAGCTGACAAGGGCTATCTCCCTTCCCCCATCTCTTCAGGCTCTCTCCTGTATTTCTCCTCTGCTGATGGACCAGGGAGTCGTGGATCTTCAAATAAAGAACCCCCCAGATACTGAACTATATATAATGAAATGCTTTGCAAGACGTGTGCTGACAACTGCTCTTAGGACCCCTTACAGGCAACTTGGGCAATGGGAGAATAACTTTCAACCACTTACCATTACTGAGCATGGAGAGCACTAACTATAATACAAGGCAGGCATTTCCTCTTCATTGTCTCATTAAACTCTGAAAGAAATCTCATGCAAAGGAGTTTGCTTAAAAGCCTTAAAAAAAAGGTGTTTGTCTCCAGCCAGCAGCAAGTTCCAATGAGACTCCTGGATAAGCAAAGCCTAAAATACATCTTTCTCGAGACCCAACATGTTTTCCACCCTTGCCACTTTGATGCTATTTTGCCTGGATCACAGCATGGGCTCAAAGAATGGGTGATGACTGCTCCACATTTTGGCACGTGCCTGGAGGGATGTAAATAAAGCAAGCCAGCTTTTCAAGACCGCACCTTCCTTAACAGTCAATGTACCTAGTCTCCCTTTCAGATGCAACACTTGGCACTAGCGATGACCACAAAATGATGGATTAAAATAAAGTGCTATTTGCTCTGGAAGTTTCTCTAATCAACTCCTGACTGCCTCTCAACCTGTGTGACTCACTTCTTCACAATCCCATCAAACACGAATAATTGCACCATTTAAAAAAATACATTAACTTTCATTTGAAGAGTGGAAACTATGTTCCTCAGAACAGTAGCCCCTAGACTAGAATTCCAATTCCAGGTGTAGATATTTATGTTTTTTTAAACAATCAATCAGGAACCCAAGACCTAGCAAGTAGTCATGCCTAATAATAATAATAATAATAATAATAATAATAATAATAACTTCTTTAAATGTGAGGGCCAGAGAGATCTGTGACAACCAACAGAGGGAAGTCTCCCTGCTGCTCGTTCTCTCTTCCTTCCCTGGACCTTCCTAAAATCTGCAGATTCTTCCTCAGAATCATCCCACACAAACCAACATTTGGACCAACTCTGAGCTGCTGCTGCTGGATGTTTGTCTGAGCCGCCTAGGACACTCTGGTGGGTGTGAGGAAGTTGCCATAACTATAGTGGACTGTGGGCCCAAGGGTGTCATTGAAGCCACCAAATGTCATCTTCCGAATTTCCCAACACCTTCTGCAGCTCATCTTTCTGGAGTTGAACCGGCTTCATGGCCACCCCCACCCCCACCTGGTGGGAGAGGCTTTAGAAGCACTGGGCCATCAGGGTTTACGGTTCATCTTTGGGGAAGCCCTGGGTGTGCTGGGGGCGCTGACTCCGGGGCGGAGAGCACCTGGCAAGGTAGCGGGGACCCCCATAGGCCCGCAGAAGCTGGGGCAGCCTTCGCCATGTGGACAGCAACCGTGCAGCCACGAGTTCCCGGGCGTGACCGTCGAAAGCAGCCAGGAGGTCAACCGGGGCGGCTTCACGAAGTACCTTGGGCAGCGGGCCCACTTCAGCTGCTGCCCCGCCGGGGCCCAGGACACAGTGGAAGAGGGTCTGGCGGCCCAGCAGGCAGTCCCTAAGAAAGCGAACCAGCTGGTCCATGCGCTTGCCCAGGTGGGCCTCCTCCCAGCCTTGCTCCGGCGCCTTCTCGTACAGCAGCACCGCCAGCAGCACCGTCTTGAGCACGTACGAGGACAGGACGCGTCCCCACTGGGCGGCAGCCTTTGGGTCCAGCCCGCGGGCGCCCAGGTCTCGGAGGGCTTTCAGCAGCTGCAGGCACTTGAGGTAGCAGGCACCTGGAGGGGCCCGTTCCTGCAGCCAGCCCAGCAGCTTCTGCTCCTGGCGGGCTGTGTTCACGCCCCAAAGCGCATCTGCACGCAGGCCTTCCGGGAGCTCCGACGGGGGCCCAGCGGGTGAGGACGGCGGCGGTGGAGCCACGAGGAAGACACCATCGCCCACGTGGACGGCGGGAATGAGCCGCACGGCCATGGAAAGTCTGCAGCAGCCGTAGTCGGTGCGGCAGGGCAGGATGTGCAGGGTGGGGGGCTGCTCCAGGCCGCCGGGCGTCAGGGTGACCCGGCAGCGCTCCTCCAGGCTGTAGCGCACGGTGGCCAGGGATCGCTGCAGATGCGCCTGGAACCAGCGCAGCACCAGGGCGGCCGAGAGGAGGCGCCGCCCGCGCACGTCCACGCAGAAGCCCTCGGCGAAGGGTTTGCAGTCCCGGAGCCAGTGGCCCCCCGAGGCCCCCGGTGGCGCCCTGAGTGCGCACACGAAGCAGCCGTGCAAGGCCGGGGCCACCGCGGGCTGCGCGCCCAGGCCCCGCGGCTCCAGCGCCACCAGCGGCGGCAGGCGCAGCGGCACCAGCACGTCGAAGGCGTCCGGCCGGCGGATTTTATGCTGCTCGTAGGCGCTGCCCACCTGGATGAAGTCTCCGCGGAAGGCCAAGGCCAGCGTGCCCCCGGGAATAAGGCCTGGGGACCCCCGAGTGCGGCCAGCCCGCACCAGCTCGCCCACGATCCGGCTCACGTGCGCTTTGCTGTGGCCCAGCACGTGCGGTGACAGGCGCACCTCGTGCTCGTAGTAACTCTCCAGCAAGATGTCGAGGCTGGGCTCCTGGAAGTGTCTGGGGGCGAAGGTGGAGTGGCCCCCCAGGCGGGGAGAGCCGGGCAGGAAGCGCTGCCGGACGGCGTGGCGGCAGCGGAGGAGGATGTAGCCGAGGAGGAGCAGGACGGAGATCTTGAGCAGCGGAAAGCCGCCGTCCGCGCCGTCGGGGGGCTCGGCCCGGGCGCCTCCGCTCCCTCGCAGGACATGGTAGAGGCACACGAAGGCGGTGCACAGGCCGGTCACCAGGGGCCAGAAGACGCGCAGGTTGAGGGTGTAATGCACCGACATGCCGGGCGCCAGCCCCGGCGGTGCCCCCGTCCCAGCATGCGCGCAGCACCCCAGCAGCTCCGCCGTCCCGGGCTCCTTCGCCTTCGCGGCGGCGGCTCCCCCCTCGCAGGGCCGGGGGAAGCCGTCTCCCTGCTCGGCCTCCTCTCCCAGCTCAAGTTCTCCTTCCAGCGGCGGCCCGCCCTCGGCTCCCAGGCTCCGGGCCGCGCCCTGCGCCGGCGGCGCGCCGCGTCTGGCCGGGCGGCCCTCCCCTCCCAGCGCCCCGGCGCGCTGCCCGCGGCCAGCTTCTGCCCGCCCGGCTCGCCGCCTACCCGGGCAGCCCTCCGGACACCGGGCTCCACCGCCGCTCTCCTCCGCGCTCGTTCCCGTTACTCGGGCCGGGAGTTTCCTCTTCCGAGGGGAGGGGAGGCCGCGCCAGCGAGCGGGGAGGAAATGCCGGAGTCTGGAGCCGCGCGCCCGGCCGGCGGGCGGGGTCGGCCCCCTCCCGGGCCTCCGCCTTAAAGCGACGCGGAACTTAAGGACGCGCTGGGAACTGGTCTTCGGCGGGCCACCCCCACTCTCCCTCCCCTAAGGCAGAACTGGGAAGGCCCAGATTCCGGGGCGGTGGCCTGGTCCAGGGGAACTTCAGGGGTGCGCTCACATGAAGTTACACACTGGGAAGTTAAAAGGAGAAAAGAGCTCAAGCGCAGCAAGTCGTGGTGGTGTGGTATTGGTTGGGTGGCAGGCCCCCAAAGAAAGCAGTCCCTTCCAGAGTGGCGCTGTCTTTATTCAAACCAATATTTACTGAGCACCTACTATGTGCCAAGTAGGAGGCTAGGTGCTGGGAAAATAGCAGTTGACAAAATATAGTTTCTGTCCTTCATAAAGCTTGCAGCCGAGAGAGAGGGAGTGGGATGGGTTGTTGCATGGCAGCTGGAGGTGACATTTGGTCTGAGAACTTCATGAGGAACAGCCAGCCTCCAGAACAATAACAGCCATTACAAAGGACTTACTGTGTGCTATACTGTCACCTTACACACATTCACTCACTTCTCATGTTAATCCTATGAAGTGGGCAATATTCCCATTTTTCAGATGAGGAACCAGGGGCACAGGCAGGGGCAGCTGCTTGCCCAAGGTCACACAGCTTTAGCAGAGCTATGTGAACACAGGCACACAGGCACTAGGGTGCTGCTCAGGGAAACCAGGTTCAGGACTCAGAGAGGGGACCAGAATTCCCCTTCCTCAACTGCTGGGAATTTGTATCTGTTGTCAGAACTATACTGGGACCTCAGTCAGGGGAGCTTTGATTATTGTATAATCAAGGAGCACTCCCTGAATTTATCTAAATTTAAATAATCATCTTTATTTAGTTAACACTCATTCCACCTACCCTGGATGAAGGCAATAAAAATGTCCAGAATCCAGCTGCCACCTGGGAATCAAGACTGAGGATGGCTCCTGGGTTAAGCACCAAGATTACTCCCAGGAAATCCTAAACTGAGCCAGGTAGAGCTAAGCAAACCTGCTTTTTCAGATCCCATCTCCACTACTATTAGCTATTAGACAGCAGTCTGTCAGTCAGGATGCTTTGGGTTGTGACAGAAACACAGCTACAGAATTGATGGTATCATGTTAACAGACATTTAGGGGATCCTACTTCAGAAAGACTGGATTTAATTCCTCTCCATACGCTTCTTAACTCTGTTTTCTTCCAAGTTGGCTGCACACCCCACATTGGGGACCGAGCCCACTGTCCAGGTCCTCTCCATATGCCCCTGGCTGCTCTAGCTTCACTTTAGCCTCATTTATCCTCACTGCGAAGAAAAAGTTTTGCTTGCTTGAAAGTTGCAGCAAATGCTATGCCTAGAGATACCCTTGGGTCATATGCTACCAGCATCCAAGTTAGAGAACGCACTGATTAGCCTGGCCTGTGGTGGCGGTATGGACTGAATTGTGTCCTTTCAAAATTCATAGGTTGAAGCCCTTATCCCCAACATATCCGTATTTGGAAACAAGGACTTTAGGAGGTAGTTAAGGTTACATGAGGTCAGAATGATAGCCCTAATCCAATAGGACCCGTATCATTATAAGAAGAGAGAGAAAGGTCTCTCGTTCCCTCACACCAAGGAAAGGCCTTGCGAGGACATAGGTAGGTGACTGTCTGCTGGCCAGGAGAGCCTTCACCAGAAGCCTGACCTTGCTGAACCTTGACCTTGGACTTCCAGCCTCCAGAACTGTGAGAAAATAAATTTGTTTTTTAAGCCACCCAGTCTGTAGCATTTGTTGCATATACAGCCCCAGCTGACCAAGGCAGTTGGATACCCAACCCTGAAACCAGGAGATGAGGTGAGCCTTGCCCAGACCATAGGGACTATGGTGGGGTGTTCCCCAAAGAAGTCAGTATGTTTTGCTGGAGAAGAGGGAGGGGGTGTTTTGGCATTCAAAAGCAACAGGAGGCCACCATATTTTGATAAACCCCTTAATCTCACTTTGCTTTAATTTCCCCCTCTATAAATCAGGAGTAATACTAACAGAGTGACTTGTTTTTCCCTGAGTAGATATGGTGGCATGCTATCATCAACCATACAAAAAGGGCGATGCTCTAGATCAGAGGTCAGTAAACATTCTATGTAAATACGTTAGGCTTGTGGGCCATACAATCTCTGCTACAACTACCAGGGTGGGCTGCTGTAGTTCAAAGCAGCTACATTTATTTTCTGGGGCTGCTGTAACAAAGCACCAGAAACTGGGTGGCTTAGAACTGGAATTTATCCTCTCATAGTTCTTTAAAAAAAAAAAAAAAAAAAAAAAATATATATATATATATATATATATATATATATATATATATATATATATTTTTTTTTTTTTTTTTTTTTTTTTTTTACAGAAAGGAGAGAAATAGAGAGTTAGAAACACCAATCAACTGCCTCCTGCACACCCCCTACTGGGGATGTGCCTGCAACCAAGGTACATGCCCTTGACCGGAATCGAACCCGGGACCTTTCAGTCTGAAGGCCGATGCTCTATCCACTGAGCCAAACCGGTTAGGGCTCTCTCACAGTTCTTAAGGGAAACAGTGCTGTACTACTTCTGAAGTTTGTAGGGAAGGATCCTTCCTTGCCTTGACCAGCTTTTTTTTTCTTTTTTAAAATATATTTTTTATTAATTTCAGAGGGAGAGGGAGAGGGAGATAGAAACATCCATGATGAGAGAGAATCATTGATCAGCTGTCTCCTGCACACCGCACACTAGGGACTGAGCCTACAACCCGGGCATGTGCCCTGACTGGGACTTGAACCATGAACTCCTGGTTCATAGGTCGATGTTCAACCACTGAGCCACACCGGCTGGCAGCCTTGTCCAGTTTCTGATGACTCCAGGCATTCCTTGGCTTGTGGCTGCATCACATTAACCTCTGCCTTCATCTTCACCTGTGTCTGTATCTTTTTAAAAAACTGATTTGAGAGAGAGAGAGAAAGGGAGGGAAAGTGAGAGAGAGAAACATTGATTTGTGTTCCATTTATTTATATATTCATTAGTTGATTCTTGTATGTGACCAGGGTTTGAACCTGCAACTATGGTGTATTGGACCAATTGAACTACCCAGACAGGCCCTGTGTCTGTATTTTTTTTTTCTTTTCTTTCATATAAGGAATTTAGAGTCCACCTGGGTAATCCCAGGGGTCTCATGCAGAGAGCCTTAATGTAATTATTTCTGCAAAGACCCTTTTTTCCAAGTAAGGTAACATTCACAGGTTCCAAGTGTTGGGATGTGGACATAGCTTTTTGGAGGTATACTGAAAAAGCTCACTTTTCCCTCCTGTGTCTTCTTTAAATTCCCACGGGACACTTCACCCACCACACTGAGTCAATGAGTGTCTCTGTTACTGCTTTCCCAGCCTGCAATTGGTTCCCATAGCTTACTTCCTCCAAAGAGTCCAGGTACAGGCCTCGGAACTTTGACCTTGGAAAATCTACTCTATGTGTCAGAGCAAATACAAACCCACTTATTTATTAGTTTATTACCCACTTTTGTGGGTTCTTACTGTATGCCAGGCAGAGGGGAACCTGAAGGAAAACAGGGCGCTCCCAGCTGACAGATTAAAACACCGCACAATATGGGTGGATTCGGAAAATGGTTTTGTAGACTTTTGATAATTATTTCATTAAAAATTTCCTTTAATGTTTAATACTTGACAAAGGCCACTCCTGTTGTTTTTTTAACAGCTTAGCAAATATATACACACAGCCCTCCCAACATTTCTGATATCCCAGAGGTGTGTCTCCCAACACTGATGAGAGGAAAAGTGAAAGAGGAGGTGACTCATTTCCCATGGAGGCCCGGAAGGCTCTCGGGAGGAGACACATGACTAGGCTGTGAAGGACGGGAAAAGACAACCCTGTGTATCACATGTACCATGTGCCTCCTGGACACAGCCCTTCCTGTGCAGTTTCTCTTAAAATGCTCAGAACAAGCCCAGTGAGAGAGGTGCTGTCATCAATGCCTTTTCAAGGGGGAAGTGAGGCTAAGAGAGGATGAATCACATGGCTGGCAAGGCTACTTCAGAGCTGGGTTCTTATTCCTGGTGCTTTTTTTCCTTTCACATTGTAAAGGGTCTTATTGCACAGAAAGAGAGCATTCTGGGAAGGCGGGTTAATGTATGTTTGTATCTATCCCACTAACCAGCGGATGAGGTACTTGGAACTTTGCTATAGTCATCTTGGTATCAGTAGCACCCAATACCGGGCCTGGAACATTATGGGGATTTTCTGAAAGAATGAATGAATGAATGAATGAATGATGCTTCTACCAGCAGAAATTCAGAGAGGCCATTCCAGGTAATGGGAACAAAATGTGTAAGTGCTCAGGTCCAGGAGCATGTGATAGTTGGGGACTGGGGAGACAGGGCATGGTCCTATTGTTGTAGAAGTCTGGAGTTGGTGAGTGGATACCGTGGCATTCAGTGACCATCCATTCCAGCTTTCGTCTGCAAGCTGGGGCTGGAAAGCGAAACGCA